TCCCGTTCTATTTGCTTTCCCAGCGAGTCGACTTCGTCAACCGGACACACGCGTATTGTGATTTCAGCCTTTGACTGGTAGCCGTTCGATGGATATCACAGGGGGTGGCAAATGGTCGCGGACTCGCGCGCAGACCGACCGGGGGTGGAGAAGCAGGGTGGTGAATTGGGCGCGCGCGATCGCGCGGAGGCTGGAAGGGACGGACGAGCGAGCAGCGTGAATATTCATGCCCGGAGAACCCTAGACGAATTCGGACTTGTTGCGACTGACACTGATGTAAACCTTTGTTTATCCTGCGTGCACCGTAACCCTCGATCGGTCCCGTCCACCCCCGCAAACGCCTGGCAGTCGGCGTCGAGCCATCCAGCGACCCGAGTATTTAGCTGCGAGTTAAATTCTGATTAATCGTCGGTGGCCGGGGTTATTAATTGTTTGTCCTTTTGATTTTACGAGCTCACGCCCCGAAATCTCGTTCTCCCTCTTCGACGTCCGTACGTTTCTCTCTTTCCGTCTTCTTTCGCTCTCGATTCTCTCCGTTCTAATCCCGATGATTTGTTGCCGTTAATCCGACGGGACCCGAGTTCCGTCGCGGAAGTTATTCCGCTCGTTTGTCTTTGCGTCGCAGTTCGGTCGATTAAATCTCATAAGCCGCAAACTTACCCCTCCCGGGTGGAAAAAGAACGAATACACTCGGAGACCACGCGTTTTTCGGGGTACGTGAATTCCGACTGGTTGAAATTGTAAGTTTTGTAGAAGGGTGGAAGGGAACCGAATCGCGGAAACGAGGGACGGATTCGTCCACCCCCGCGGCTCTAGCCGTAAACTAAGTAATATTAATGGTCTCCCCGATGGCAGAACGCGCTCGCGCGGTATCAATGCGCTAATGTCGGCTTCCTGGCTTTAAAACTACCCCGTCATTCCGGGATAATTCGCGCGCATTGTCGCTCGCCATCCTGCCACGTTGGTTTTGCCACCTTCAGCACCCTCGCCGGGGGTTCCTTATCGTCTGCTCGCCCTGGACCGCGTTACCTCTGAAATTTCTCACCATCCCCAATCCCTTGTTCCCAGCTTCTTTCGCCCCTGGCCTTTCTCCTCTTTCGGGGAATGTTGCGAAGACGTCATTAATTACGACGACGACAACGTCGACGAGCTTCTATCGTCGGGGACATCTGCTGGAAAATAATATTCATAAAGTTGAGCCCCGTCGTTACGAACCTCGTTTCTATCCATCTTCGACGCGTGCTCGTTTCGTCTCCTGTCCACGAGAGCGACAACAGCTTTCACCACCCTTACGCTTGGTCCTTTAGGTTTCTGATGTTTAAGCTCTATAGGTGGATAATTTTAATATTGGTAAGAGAAGTAGATTTGAAAGCAAATTGTATTCGTAACGCGTTACAAATACTCCTCGTGTCCAAATCACTAAATATGATACCACCAAAATAACTATCAACGTAGAAATTAAATCCCACCTTTAAAATTAGAGGATCAGTCGCGAATTTGTGACACGTACGAGCGGATCTTAGGCGTTTCGTGGCAGTGAACACGCGGGCTTAGAGTCGTCCGGTTAAACAAGGATAATAAACGAGCTAGTCACTGTGTGACGGTATTAATCATAACGCGCGTATGCGGACGCGGCTTAGATGCGCGCGTGAGGGCACGCGTGCGTGTCGAAACGCTGACAGTTCGTTTGAACGCAATTAGCGTGCCGCATGATAGTTGCCAGCTTAACACGTTCGCTATCGCGACAACGATCGTCGAATCGAATTAACCGTTTCGTCGCGTTCCTCGCCAAGAAGACGAAACCAGTGGACCGAGGCGCGACTACGTCCTGGATTATCTACGATTATTTTTATTCAACGTTCATTCTTTTTACCTATAATGCGTGAGGTAACATTAAATCAAAATATTCTTCTTGAATTGGTTTCAAATTTTCAGCTCACATAACCCCCACGAATCTTTGTTCAATAATTGATACGTTGCTGTTTGTCCATGGCTGGCCGCTTCCACTTGTACTCTTAATCTTTGATTCCTTGGTTATTCCATTCGTAAAATACTGTTTCGCTATCTGAAGTTAGTATTTGAGATAATTAGAGTACATATATCACAATATAGGTTTCTGTGTGAACCTGATAATTTCACGAAAATTATTGGAAATAAGACGTTCACGAGTAATTCCAGGTTCAAAACGGTGAAGAAACTGGTTAACGCGATTACCTCCATCAACTTGGATGCAAGCTGCAGTAGAATATCAAAAGAAGATCCACCTTGTATATAGTTAGAACCAGTAAGAACACGTAATACCATACCATCATCGATACTTACAAATACCAAAATAAGTGGAATCAGCGAGTAATGAACAGACATGTCCGATGAGTCGTGATCACGCGTGCTTCGAAAATGTTTAATTCAATTTTGTAGGAAACAGAGCTTCTTTTTTATTTCGTACTCTACATTTGAAGTGTCGTACAAATGAATTTTATCCATTTTATTTAATTTTTCTTTGAGCATTAAGTAACATCACTCGCCCTATTATGTGAGAATTCTCTGTCCTGAACATTTTTGCCCCTCCAAATTAGTTTATATAACACAAATTCCACTATACTTCTATTTATATATATATTATTTTTCGACGAATTTCCGTGTTCCTAGCTCGAGGGTTGATTTAAATCAGTCCCGATCGTTTTTGTTCGCGTGACGCGATTATCCCAGAGGGAAGGGGACGATCGTCTAGACGATCATCGTGGATCGCGCGACAGGAGGATCCATAACGTTCGACGAATGCGTAGGATTCGTTCCACGAAGTCGTCCGCTCGTGCCAAACGTCCTGACCCGAAAACGGACCCTTTTAACGACCCTATTGCGAAACGATATGGGCTGGATCTCGCGACGATCGTCGGTTGCGCCACGATCCTTCGATAAATTGATCCCTGCGTACCATGTGGCCCTGCGTCCGCTGGACGCTCGTTCGATAAATCTAATCCCTTGTCCCACTTACGGTTAACCGTGCAGGCCTGTCCACGCCCTGTGAATTTGCTATATTAGAGGAAAGCGTAGATTCCCCTTGCAGATATCAACCCCTTCGCGCTACGCGAACTTTGACGTTACCTTTCACCGCGGAGGAACTCATTTCCCAAAGTAGTATAGTGTTTCAACACGTTCACTGTTAGACTAATACTCTCTTTCTAGTGTGATTAAATTTTATTTGTAGACTGTTGGAAATTACAAGATGAAACATTCATCGTGGTATTCATTTTTAGAACTTTATGGAGATTTAAGAATCTCATTCAAAATTT